TCATCCGAGAAGCTGATTCTTCGCAGCGAAGTCATTCGAGTGCGCAAGACCATCCAGGACTTTCCCCACGCCGCTGCCCACGTTGATGTAGTAGACGCATTCGCCCATGTCGCCCAGGGTGATGTTCAGCTTCCCGCGCCGCCAGCGGTTCCACGCCATCAGCCTGGAATTCTCGCTCTCAGCGTCCTTGGTGTGGAAGCCCGTCTCTTTGTCGAGGCACACGTTCCCCTCGTGGCGAACAGGTAAGGGGCGCTCGTGGCCTAACTCCTGGACCGCGGCATCAGTGGGGGCCCACCCGTCGCGCGCCACCATTGTGGCCTTGCGGGCGCGCGACTGCGCGGTGTCCTTGATCTCCTCGAACCCTCTGGGCTTGTTATCCTGCGCGTCCGCTGCGCATGTCACCAAACGATAAATGGCCAATTCTCCTCGTTCGCGCGCGCGTGCACCTTGCTCTTGTTGCCGACGAGGATGCCTAGCCAAAGCCACCTTCCGTTGCTCTTTAAATTTCCAGGCGGCCGCTTCTTCAACGCCGCGTTCTTGGTCAGCTTCTTCATGACGAGTGTCTTCTTTGCTGGTTTGGCGGTCTGCTTCGCGGCGCGCCCCCTCCCTGCCAGTCGCATTCATCGACGCGCTCTTCGCGTGGGCGAGCTGGAATGCCCCCTCGACATCTGTCTGCGCGTTCTAGTAGGTGCGCGCGGGCATCTTCTTCAGGATGCCCTTTCGCGCCAACTTCTCAGTTGCCCCCTGCGGCGTTGTCCGCGCTGCGGCCCCCGCGCCTTTGCCGATGCCCTTCGTCTGGAACGACCGCCCGTCGCTCGGGCGCGCGCCCGCTACTGTCTCGCCCACCACAAGCCACGCCCCCCTTTGCACCGCCGATCACGATCGCGCCCAATGGCACCAGCGCCTTCCCGAGAGACTCCCGGCATATGCTGCGCCAGATGCGCGTGGTCTTTCCGTCGATGTTGCCACGCGTCGCCTGCATCTCCTCGACGATGCGCGCGCAGTGCCTGCCGAGCGGCAGGTTGTTCACGAAGTGCAGAAAGGGCATCCACGGACTGACGTGGATCTGCTGAGGGAAACCGCGGCTGTTCATCTTCTGCTGGAGATGCGCGTGGCCGACGGACTTGCACGTCCACGGGGGGGGTCTTCCAACCGCCCCCCCCCCCTCCTCTGCTGGTTCCAGCTTCGCGCCCCCGTCGCACTCTGGACAAGCCGCGGGCCGGCAAGCCACGCCGCAACGGAGAAACACAGCTGCCGCTCTGATGGCGGGGCCATCGCGCATTCCATCTAGCGCGACGATGCGCGCATGAAGAATGCGCGCGTCGAACGCCGCGTTCGCGTCGAACCGCTCGTCACACATCTGCCGCTACCACGCCTTAAAAGGAGTCGGCGGGCGCTCGGCCCCGAGCAAACCAAGGGCGCGAGCTTTCAAACCCATCGGGCCACGCGGGGGTCCGAGCGGCGCGCCAGCGACTGCGTTGGGGTGGCCAGCGGAAGAACATCGCGCACGTCGGGATGGCACGGTGCCAGCGAAGACTGGGCGACGCGTTTCAGCACGCTGTTATCTAAACAATAGAACCCTGAATGCCCCTCGCTGGACAGGCCCCCCTCACATCAAGCAAGCACGCTGCGCCCCTCGCCGCGGTCCGCTCGCGGCCGAAGCCCGAGGGGCGGCCCGACGCGCCCGCGCGCGCTGGGCCCATGCGCGCCCGCGATGAAAACAATGCTGCGGTGCGGAGGCAATCCCAGGCACGCCTGCGCCATCATCTCCATGCGCTTCCACGTCGTAGCCCAACCCACAGTGTCGACCCAAGACACGCTGCGCTCGGCAAAGAAGCCAATGTCTCACACGCGCGCAGCCCGATCATGCCATATGCAGACCGCCGCCAACTCCAAGTCCCTGCATGGGCGCACGATGATTGGGACTAAGCCAGGGTACGAGGGCAACCAGCGCGGGCCCGCGAATCGCGCTGCGACGAACTGCTGAAGGCTTTTGCGGAAGTGCCTGAAGCTCGGCCACCCGCCCACTGAGATGCGCAGGCGGCCCTATGGGCGCGGAAGACAAAATGCAGGTCAGCGATGGTTTCCCTGCGCAACCCCCACCCCCTTTCCCTTCAAAACAGAACTATACGGGTTTCTGACAGCGGTGCATTTCGAACAACCAGTCCTCCCCACCTCGCAAGCGATGGGACTGTGCCGCGCTCAGTTTCCACCGGAAGAAATTTGGGGGCACTGGCGCGCCCGGGCGACAATCAGGCAAGAGCGCATACTCGAAGGCCATTGCAGCGAGCGGCGGGCCGCAGGAGAGACGACGCGACGCTCGCGGGAAAGCTTCAGCCCGAACTGCACATGACGCAAAGGCGCGACAGCGGAGACGGCAGCGACGACGGCAAAATATACGCGAGCAGCGACGGCGGCGAAAGATGGCGATCGAGGCGCGCGCGAGCGGGCATCGCGAAAACGCTCGAGCTTGAAAGAAAGACCTGTTCATCTGAGAGCTGGAAACGGCACGCTGGAGGCCCATCAGAGGCTCGGCGGCGGCCGCCCCGTCCGAGCCCGAGACCCCCTCCCCCCGCGCCGTCGACGCCGTGCTCGACCCCGCTCGCGGCCGCGCGCTCACCTCCCCTGAGGACCGAGGAAATTGGCTGCGCCCCCTTCCCCCCCCGCAGACGGCCGGGGCGCCGCCGCGTCGTCAGCGCCCAGCATCTGCGAGAGCTGGGCGTCGAGCTCGCCGCGGGGCGGCGCGGCGGGCCCGGCTGCAGAGGGCGACGCCGCGGCGTGCTACTTGGCGGGGGGACGGGCCATCGATGTTGATCGTCATCCCCGAGAGCAAACGCTTCCGCAACCTCTGGCGCTGGGGGGCACGGGCTCCCGCTTGACCTGTCGGAACCTCATATGCGGGGCCTTGAAGGAACGCGCCCTAAGGCCGAGGAAGGGCCCCAGCCGCTGGATCGCCACGAAACGCCTCCTCACCCATAGGGCCACGCCCCTCAGCACCGCACCTTTGAACCCCAAAACCTGGACGATCGAAAAGGCAGGCAAGGCACCGACGGCCGCGTCCGAGGACATATTGCGGATCTTCTCCATGGCGGAATCAACGAGGAGCCGCTCCTTCTCCAAGTGCTGATCGATGTTGTCGGGCGGCGCCACGCCGCCGCCCTTCCGCAGCTGGCGCAGGCGCCCCCCCCCCCCCCCGTCTGTCAGGCAAGTCTCACCGTTGAAGTGGATACGCTGCGCGTCCGTCTGCTCGGCGCCTGCTGGGCGCCAGTGCAAGCATTCCTGCGCGTTCACCAGAAACGCAGAGCGTTTGAGGAAAGCCAGCGCGCACGCGCGGGCCGCCTTCTCGTGGAAGGCAGGGCGCACGAGATCGACGAACTCCTGGAACGCCGCGGAGGGCCAACGGTCTGGCTTCTCGGCATTCAGGTCGTAAGTCTGGTCAGCCTTCTTCAATTTCGTCGCGCCCCACCTGGCCCGGAACATGCTCTCGCACTGGCCGACGCCCAGCAAGGCCTTCACCCTCTTCGGCGGGAGGAGGTTCGGGCACCCGTCGTCAACGAGACCCCCCATCAGAATGTCGCCTGGCTCGGCGCGTAGGAAGTCGATCTCAGGCGTCGCGCGGACGGGGCAGCGCGCGAGGTCCAGCCCGTTTGCCCTCGCGCTCCTGCGGCGCATGGCCATCGAGAGCGCGCGCCCGAGCGGTGTCTTGCCGACGTTGGGCCCCCCAATGGGGGGGGGCGAATGGCGGGCGTTGATGAGGTCCGCCATGGGTTCGACAGCGCGAAGGTCGAAGTGGTCATCGCAGAGGGTCACGATGTCACCGAACTCCCCCTTGGCCAAAGCGCCCTCCGCCGCCAAGGGGCGACGGGACTTCTCAACGAGTCCGACGGGCCACCCATGGAGGGGCACCACTGCCCTCATTGCGATCGTCTGCCAGCGCGCCAGCTGCTGCAAGCCCACCGTGGACTTCGGGGCCTCGTTGATGATGCAGTCGAAGCCAGTGTTGATCTCCACGTCGCTCTTCTCGTAAAAAGCTCTCTGCGCGGCCTTCGCCTTGACTTCGGGCGAGGGGAAGAATCGGCGAAACTGTTTGCCGCCAAAGTCTTCGAGAACATACTGCCATACCTTCGCGCCGATCTTCGGGGGCACGGAAACCAGCCTCCGCGGCGCCCCATAGGCCAGCTCCTAGAAGGGCCCGAGCTTCATTCTGCGTCCGGGGCTCTCGGGGGCGGTGTGTTTGAGGATCGTTTTGGCGCCGCCCTGCCCGTCTAAAATAGCGAACTGGAGCTGGGCGTCTGGCGGGGGCGGGCTCTTGAAACCGCGCGGCGCTGGGAGGCCTCTCCAGCCTTTGTTCTCGGACGCTGTCTTGTAGAGTTCCTCCAAATTGACTTGGCCGGCATCCGCGTGGCTCACGACGAGGTCAACGTAGTGTACCAGCGCGTTGTCCTGCGGCGCCACGTCCTTGGTGAACTCGTTCAGAATGTCAATCGCAATCCTCGCGGCAGTTGTCGGGGTGACCAGCGGCGCCGAGAGAGCGCGCAAGAAGCACCCCTCGACGCGCTTGATCTCCCCGCGCATGGCCATAGCGAATCGAGGCGACGTGGCGGGCGGCCGAAGCGCGGCGAGAGCTCTGCGGTCGAGCCCAAACAGCTACGAACTAATGCCGTTCGCTCATCTCGGCGTAGCTCCGCGTCCGCAACGGTGTGGCATCCGTTTTTGGATGCCCTCTAGAGTAGCGCCGTGGAAGCGCTATGCAATGACGAAGTCTTGGTTGGCGGCGTGGTATCATCACTGATGCTGAGCGGTTGCTGGTGTCGTTGCGTAACAAACGTGCGACCATGTGGCCGCGTGTTCGGGCACAGTGATTGGAACCCGTTTTGGGGGGTCCCCACTTGTTGGTTGCTTGCGGGGTGTCGTCACCAGTGATGGCGTTGAAGGTGTTCCCCACCACAGGGGGGCAGCCCTTGGTAACCCTTTTTCTGGTTACCCACTTGTTGGTTGAATTCGTGGTGTTACATTGCTGGTGCGACGGTGCTCGCATTGTTTCGTGTGTGCCACAAGAGGGCATCGTTTTTTGCGATGCCCTCGGGAGTAGCCTCCTGGGCCCCCTCCTGGGTACCATCGTGGGTTCCCTCCTGGGTCCCTTCCTTGGTTCCCTCCTGGGTCCCCTCCTGGGTTCCCTCCTGGGTTCCCGCGCCCTCGGGAGTAGCCTCCCGGGGTCCCTCCTAGGTGCCCTCGTGGGTTCCCTCCTGTGTCCCTTCCTGTGTTCCCTCCTGGGTCCTTTCCTGGGTTCCCTCCTGGGTCCCCTCCTGGGTTCCCTGCTGGGTCCCTTCCTGGGTTCCCTCCTGGGTCCCCTCCTGGGTTCCTTCTTGGGTCCTTTCCTGGGTTCCCTCCTGGGTCCCCTCCTTGGTTCCTTTTTGGGTCAGTTCCTGGGTCCCTCCGGGGTCCCCTCCATGGGCTCCTGGGTTCCCTCCTGGGTCCCCTCCTGGGTTCCCTCCTGGGTCCTTTCCTGGGTTCCCTCCTGGGTCCCATCCTGGGTTCCCTCCTGGATTTCTTCCCGGGTTCCCTGCTGGG